ACAACAAAAGACATCATCTCTGTACTCTGGTCCTTCCTTAGAGATAAACCCAACAGACACGATGAGATTTACTCTCAAATCACCAGCTATGGTGCTGATATACTAGCAGCAGTGCCCTCAGAGCCTGACTTCTGGAGAGACTCCCAAAGCTCCACCCATTAGAATTTTTTTTGTTGTGTCAGGAGCGACCTGAGAAACTGCAAGTCGCTTCTGGTGTGAGAGAATTTGCCGTCTGCAAGGATATTGCCCAGGGGACGCCCGGATGATTTTTTATCCTTGTGGGAGGCTTCTCTCATGTCTCTGCATGAGGAGCTGGAGCTGATAGAGGGAGCTCATCTGCCTCTCCCCGGATTTGAACCTGTGACCTGTCAGTCTTCAGTCCTGCCGGCACATGGGTTTAACCCACTGTGCCACCGAGGGCTCCATTAGAATGAGTAGTAGGCTCAAGGTACCACATTCTGAAGTGAATGAATACACATTGGCCAGAATCCTGTTAGTGACATAAACAAGACTCATTCTGCTTTGTGCTTTTTGGTCAGAGCCAATGTTACTCTGCAAAAATCAATACTCTGTACCAGGTCTCACCATAACTCTGAGATGTGCATCCCAACAGTGATTCTATTGCTGGGGGAGAGTTGAAGAGATAAAGGGAGCATCTGGCTGTGGCCCAATAGCTAGATGTAGATTAATGACATCATCTGCCGAGACCTCTGGAAGACCCTGGCAGATCTTGGCAGAGGATGCCCTTGGTCTGTGTCTGACTCTGGGAACATAGCCAAATGTTTCTCCGACACCAGCCAAAGAATGGCTTTTGGAGGGGGCTGTTGAAAGAACTTGGTGAATCGTAGGGTTGATGGCAGGAGAGCTACAGAAGAGTTCCTCGTGTGGAACTCTTATACTACTTGCAAGCATGTAGAACAGTGTTTCCCAAACTCTGATCTTTCAAGTGTTTTGGATGTCAGCTGCCAGAATTCCTGATCATTGACCAAGGCATCTCAGGCTTCTAGGAGCTGGAAGACCATAATACCTGGAGAGCTAGAGTTTGGGATTCACTGGTGTAGAACTTCAGGTTTACAGGCTTGAACTGTTTGACCGATGCATTGTTTACAAATAAAAAAATTGTTCTACAGCTGGACATTCTATCCTCCAAGCATATCTACCTACATTTTATGGAGGAATCTATGTGAATATATACATGCATTACTGGTTATGTCTTAGAGCCAATACTGATGCATATATATGAAATGCCACTTTATCCCTCTGAAAGGAATGTATTTCTTTCTTGGATATGCATTGGATCTAAAAACACATTTTCTGCTCTTGGAATAGCAGATGAGCTGCACAGATTGGAAAAAAAATGAGAAACAAAAAAAAAAACCCTTCAAAATAGACTGAAATATACTTCTGATTTTGAATATCTTAAACAGTACAAGACCCGTCCAACTCCTGCAACTATTTAAAAGGCAAAGTGCTACTCCCTGGGCCTGAGGCCTTCAAATGATGCAGTTCACTTTTTTTCTGGCCAGAAAAGGGGGAAACATGAGTCAGAAATTGAGGACCATGAACAGCTTTAGTGGCCCATATGTGACCCCAAGGGCTGCACTTTCTCCGTCCCTGTGTGTATGATTAAGATGAATTCAGTTAGCCTAGCTTAGCTCAGTTAATGAAGGAGATGTGTTCATGGATTTTACTTCTTTAACAGAAACCTTTGAACCAGAGGTAGAAATAACATGAAAGTGATAGCTTTCCACATTATTAAAAAAAGTTTCAACTAACTTTTCACTCAAAACTAACAATATGCATCTGTAAAATGAAACAAACAAGGCTGCCAAGCTTTGTGTGAATAAAGAAAAACATTCTGAATCTTCTTGAGATCATTTGAAGGCTTCCTCCAAAATGCAACCAGGGATGACATTTGCTTTTACCAGCCTCCAATTTTGAAGTTTGTTTTGATAGTCCATCATATAGGTCAAAGTTCCCAACCTTTTCTTTTGACCAGGGACCACTTGACTAGGGACCATTTTGACCAGGGACCACTCTCCAACATTAATATAAAAAGGGTTACTAATCAGTTTTTGGTCAACTTCAGATTTGGTTTGGTTATTTGGGGTGCTGATTCAGAAAATTGCATTAGATAGACGACATCAGCTCTAGTTTCCGATACAGAACACATGCCATCCAGTAGTTGCCATCTGCTCACCCACAGAAAACGATATTTAATAATCTAGAGCTGATGTGGTCTATCCAATGTAATTTTCTGATTCAGCACCCCAAATAACCCCAGAAACAGGCCTAAAAATGAAGACACCATTTTTGTTGGGTTGTGTTATTATTCGTGGATTTTGTTATCACTTGGCACTATAAGAGGTTTTGTGAGACCAGTCACTCTCGTTGCAATTATGTAGTAATGATAAGGCTTCAGATCATATTTTAGTTCTTGCAGACCTCTGCTGGTCCATGGACCATAGATTGGGAACCACTGATATAGTTCTATGCTTTTTTTCATATACTGAGGACGACTTAGGAGGATTGCCTAAATATCCTGAAGGTACCAGATCCTATCTAAGCAGGTTGGTTCTTGGATGACAGACCACCAATGAATACCATGTGCTCAGGATATATTTCAGAGAAAGGAATTGGCAAAATCACCTTTGAGTATTACTTGTCTAAGAAAGCCCTATGAAATTTATAGGGTCATCATAAGCCAACAGGCAACTTGAAGGCAAAAGTAGATAAGCACACCTTGAAAAGAGACACAAACAGTGGAACTGGCTGGAGCCGAATCTTATTTTTTGCTCAGGCTTTACTGCATTGATTTCTGCAGACACAATCCAATCTGACTCATGAGGTCTGTTTGTCCAGTTGTCCTCTTAAGGCCAATGGAACAAAAACAAAAATCCAGCTGGGGGAAAAAAAACAGGAAAAAATGGGGTGACTTTGGTAATTACTTGAGCTAGCATATCCTTTTCTGGCTCTCCCAAAACCATTTTCCTGTTTGAGATAGCTTTGCATCTCTTCACAAAAGAAGAAAAACTCTTGCTTTGCTTGCGATATCTGCATTGTTGTTAGGGAAGTGAGATGTTTCTAAGGAAATCCGACAGCAGAACAAAAATTAATTTTGCACCATGCACCAAGGTTAATTTCAAAGTCAAAATGTATATAAAAAGAATGCATGTAAATCGTTTTTGCAAGAAAAATCCTGATGTTTAAAACTCCAGCTTCTTGTTTAAATAAAAAGGGCAACTGAGCATTGAAAGCAACTGTCTTTCAACTATTTCAAACTGTAGTCAGACATTTCACAATACAGGAAGTTCAAGCTAAGATCTGCTTTTCTAAGGGATAGGAAAATGAACATAAGGCCTAATAAAAAGTCATGAAAGCTTCCTGTGCTGAAAAGCTTGAGAAATGTTATGCTCCATTAAAAATACCCTCTATTTATAGCTACCTACAGATTGTAGTTTTTACATCCAGAGTAATGAGTTAAACACTATTCAAGAGATAGGCACCAATACATGACACTAATAGATGCAGAGATTTTAAAAGCATATTGGGAAACACATCCAAAAAAGCTAGTGCGTCTCTATCAAAATCTATCCATAGGAGCAGTGCACAGCACATGGGCTGCAGCTCCCATTAGCTGCAGTGTAGTTGGGAAGGGCTTTGCCCACTCTCCAAATACAACTTCCTTTTACCGTGACATTTTCCTTCATTCCCAAAATTCCAGCATTGCAGTAACTTGAAACTTCAGCTGAGCATTTAGAAATATAGTTAAGGCATCCAAAGAGGCTTGCAAAGTTACCAAAGGAATGTGAACACAGCATGTAGAAGAACTCGAGATGTGAGTGATTGCTCAATAGCTCATTCTTTGCAATGTTTGCATTGAAGGAAAATTTTGTTTAAGGAGCAGAATTTTGTATTTGGCGGGACAATGCCCTCGTTTTCTCCCATCCAGTTACATCCCTGTCCTAACTAGCAAGCCGAGATAAAGAGTGGGGCCTGAAGTAAAATAATATCTTGAGAATCATTGTTTTTCATCAGTGTTTGACAGGATAGTAAGAGTTTAGAAATATGAATGCAAAACAATTTTCCTTATTCACAAACTTGTTCTTACTCCTTTCAACATATCACCTGAATGGGACAAACAACACTGCTTAGGCCCCATCTGCAAAGCGATAACACTTTCTACAATGCTTGTTTGCAACTGCATTAAATGGTCAGTACAGGTTAGATCCATGAATGGGCCCTGCATCAACAGAAAACAAGTCTTTCAATCTCACATTTCTCTGTAAAATACATAGGGTTTTTTTTTAATCGTGTCAGAAGTGACTTGAGAAACTGCAAGTCACTTCTGGTGTGAGAGAATTGGCCATCTGCAAGGATGTTGCCCAGGGGATGCCTGTGTGTTTTACCATCATGTGGGAGGTTTCTCTCATGTCCTCACATGATAAGATGGAGCTGATAAACGGGAGCTCATCCCACCCCTGGATTCGAACCACCGACCTTTGGGTCAGCAGTTCAGCTGGCACAAGGGTTTAACCCATTGCACCACTGTGGCTCTAGATATTTAAGGTGCATCTGTACTGTATAATTAATGCTGTTTGATCCCTCCGCCCTCATGGTGCAATGCTATGGAATTGTGGGAGTTGTAGGATTCTCTGGTTTTTAGCTTTTTCTGCCAAAGGGTGCTGGTGCCTGATCAAACTGTAACTCCCATTATTCTATAGCATTGAGCCATGAGAGCTAAAGGGGTGTCAAACTGTCTTAATTCTACAGTGTAGGTGCACCATGAGGTGATTTAACTTAAAGATCGCATACCAGACATTTGAGAGGTAGGAGGTCATCAAGATAAACAACACAAGAAAAAAATCATTTGAGACTACATTTTTGGTCTATTTCAAGAATCCAATCAATGGGGGGGGGGCAGTTTGAATTGGAGAAAGCTGAAAAAGAGAAAATAATTTTTGAAGTTTGAAAATAAATAGGGAAAATGCAAATCAATAATAATGATAATAATAATTTTTATTTCTTGCCCCTCTTCTCACAGCTCAAGGAGGGTTACATTGCTAAAACACATTCACCCCAAAACATTCTTTAAAATACACATATTAATGGGAAAGAATAAGGAAATATTTGTGCCTCATTTGTTGAAAAATCGGTTACAGAACAGCCGTAATAATATCAGATAAATAGAATTAAAACACTCAACAACAAATCAGAAACCTAGCACTTTTTTTATTTTTTTCCATTTTGCATTTTTGAGGTGATAGAAGAAAATAATTCTTCTTATACAACCCACTAGGATAAAAATAATGAATCCATAATAATGAATATTATTGTGAATTCATAAAAACTTTTATGGATTTGACATGTTATCTCTAGGTTCTCCAGGATAATTTTCTGGTCAATGTCAGCTGAATGTTGACCAAAGAGTCACTCTGGAAGACCTAGGGTCCTTCCACACAGCCATATAACCTAGAATATCAAGTCAGATAATCCACAATATCTGCCTTGAACTGGATTATATGAGTCCACACTGCCATATAACACAGTTCAATGTGGATTCTATACAGCTGTGTAGAAGGGGCCCTAGATTCCTAGAGATGTTCTCGGGTACAAAAATAGCATTTTTTAATTTGTGTTTTCCTACTTCCACAAGAGTCCTGCAATCTTAATCCCCACAATAGTGGAAGGTCTACTGTAGTGAAGGCACTTCAGAAAGCAGGTCATCATATCACCTTTGAATGCAATGGATACCAGCTGCTGCAGTACTGGTTCTCTCCTCTAGTTTTGTGCACACTCTAGAAATAGCATTATAAAAAATGCTCTGCTTTTTTTCTGGATATATAATATATTTCAACTACACATTTAGAATCAACAGGTTTTGAACTCTTCTTTCAGTTTCATAAAGCACACTCCTGCACTTTTTCTCCATATAGAAACTCTTTGTTCTTTAAATTTATTGGGAGGAGAAAAGTCCATGGTGGCACTCAGTTATGGGCTGAGATTGAATGTAGACGTGATGGACCTCACTGGCTCAAGTTTCTTTTACACTGAATTTAAAATTGCTGTTCCAGGAGGGTGGGGGGAATGGGGTGTGTGTGGGTGATGGGTGATACATATCTAAGGAATGCATAAGGAATATTTACTTTTGGAATAATGTATACTAAAATAAGTCTTGTATGGCAAAGTTTGATAATTGTTAGAACGTATCAAATAAAATTTAAAATAAAGTTTATTTTACACTGGATAGTTCTGGATCATGGCAATCTTTCTCACACCACAAAGACAATTTAAATAAATATTACTTTATACACGTATACAGCACACAGCATATGAAGAGCCAGCATGGTGTAATAGTTTAAATGTTAAGACTACAACTATTAATGCAAGAGTATGATTTTATGGTCAACTGTGGAAATCCACTGCACGACCTTATGCAAGTCACACACTCCCAGTCCCCCAAAATCTCATGATGGATTCACTTTAGGGTTGCCATAAATCAGAATTGACAATAACAGGTATACAAGGACCAAATTCTAAATCTAATAATCTGCATGATTTTCAAATTGGCCAGAACATTAATAACACCTTAGACACAAAAGTTTTGTCAAGAACTGGTAAAAAACATTCCTTCATTTCATACAAAGAACTATATCTTTACAGGTGGGCTGGGAATTAGGTGACTCTCCAGATCAGTGGTTCTCAACCTGTGAGTCTCCACGTGTTTTGGCCTACAACTCCCAGAAATCCCAGCCAGTTTACCAGCTGTTAGGATTTCTGGGAACTGAAGGCAAAAACATCTGGGGATCATCAGGTTAAGAACCACTGCATTATGCTTTTGTAAAGATACTAACAGACTAGCTATCCATCCAATTTTATTTTCTCAGAATACAGATGTTCTTGACCTGCAACTCCCATAACTCACCACTGACCATACAGGACAAAGTTTCTGGGTTGCACCCTGCAACATCTAGAAGGCTGTAGTTTCTTCCCTATCAATTGCAACCCTTAGCATATAACAACCTCCCTTAACCAGTTGTTTTGGACGACCTTGTCAGCACTGAGTCAGGAATGCTGGCAACTTGAAGTCCCAAACATCTGGAATGTACTAGACTGGGCCTGTTAGGAGGGTATGACCCTTCTCATAGCAGAAAACCTTTGCAGCATATTTTCTCTTTGAATGGTCTTAACCTCACCATTGCTGGTATTTGCTGTACACTTTAGATTTTAGTCACCACAGCCTACATCCTGTGCTTCCTGATAGAGATCATGAGCAGAGCGGTCTCTTAAGTCTCAGAGGAGTAATTTCCTGTACTTTGCACGTAGTATACAAAAAAACAAACACAAGCGGCCAAGGCACAAGTAGATTGATTTGTCAAATGCTTGACACACTTTATAACCCAATAAAACAGTGTTCCTTTTTAACTTAATTCCTTCAAGTTAAATGGCCTGGATAGACAAACGGACACACAAAAATCTATACAAGTTCATCCTGTGCAGTTACTGAATTTAGGTGCACAGTGAACCAGAGGACTCCACCCAATCCAGACCACCCTTTCACAGAAAGACATATTTTACCCATCAAATCTCTGAACTAAAGTTCCATAGTCCTTGGGCTGTTAATAGAGCCCCTGGTGGCACAGTGGGTTAAACTGCTGAGCTGCTGAACTTGTTGACCAAAAGGTCACAGGTTTTAATCCAGGGAGTGGCGGGAGCTCCTGCTGTCAGCCCCAGCTTTTGCCAACCTAGCAGTTCAAAAACATGCAAATGTGAGAACATCAATAGATACCGTTTTGGTGGGAAGGTAACGGTGCTCCATGCAGTCATGCCAGCCACATGACCGTGGAGGTGTCTACGGACACCGGCTCTTCGGCTTAGAAATGGAGATGAACCCCAACCCCCAGAGTCGCACACAACTGGACTTAATGTCAGAGGAAAATCTTTACCTTTGGGCTATTAAGCAATTTAAGTTGCACCAGAAAGTGGCCCCAAGTAGGGCAGCGTGTTAACTTAATCCATCTCATACTCTTGAACTGAAGAAAGGATGGGGAATCTGTGGTCTTACAGATGCAGGCAGATTGCATTTCCCACCTCCCTGCTGGCAAAGACTGATGGCATAGTGTTATCTAGAGAAGGGGCTGTTTATTTCCCACTCTGTAGATTAAGGAGGGAAGCTCTATGTTCCCTCCAAAGCAAACCAACCATGAGGAGGAAGAGATAGAAAACTTAAGTATACAAGGCATGAAGCCCAAAAAACACTACCCCGCCTCCATATTGGAATCATTAAGACTGGATAGCCAATAGTTATAACAAAATGGAGGGGAGGGTGGTGGAATAGATTAACACCAATTGCTTTCAAAATACAGTATTAAAGGAAAAGATAAGTTAACATTTTACACTGCTGGATTGGCAATGGCTTACCTTTTTGTTGAACAAGTATACTGGCAGGTTACACATCAACTTATTATCAGTGACTAACTATAATCTGCAACAAGTATACAAAAGAATTTACAAAGCATCAAAAACAAAGTCAGTAATCCCTGGCTTTATTTATACACATTCATTGTGAAGATTCAGTATAAACTACTACAATCCCACACCCACTTGCCTAGGGCCATTAAAATGAAAGGGATTGTTGTCTTGTGAGCATGCAAGTGTAGGTTTCCATTCTTGTTGTGGGAACAAAGCAAATTTGTTTTCCCAAATTAATATATGGTTCTCATTCTAGTGAATCTGAAAACCTATTTGCAATGCTTTGGGAGACTGGAAGTGAGCTGCATATAAATTATTATTTATAACTTAGTTAAATAAACATAATTTCCATTTGAGGGACAGAACTCCGGCCCAATATACTAAGCAGAGCCCCCATCCCAATAACAAAACATGATCTTTGGAGTTCTTAAAATATTTATATAGAATAACCTTTCAAATCAGGGTAATACATTTTGGTGTTCTCCCAAGCTCACAGGGGTCTCCATGACCCACCATTGTGCTATGAAAAAGTATGCTCATCCATCAGTTTTCTATGTACTAGAACAATGGTTCTCAACCTGTGGGTCCCCAGGTGTTTTGGCCCTCAACTGCCAGAAATCCCAGTTTACCAGCTGTTAGGATTTCTGGGAGTTGAAGGCCAAAACATCTGGGGACCCACAGGTTGAGAACCACTGCACTAGAAGGTAACATTAAATGGATTCGAAGATGCTCTTCAGTTCACACAAGATCATGAGGCCCAGCAGAGCAATACACCCACCCTCCACAGGAACCAAGTGTGCCCTTGACGCTGTATCTCCAAGAAATATTTGTGCTATGCCGGCAAAGATTTCAGGGCTTCCTCAAGCAGATAAGCTGGAACAAAAACAAATTCTGAAAACATCTTTCTAGCTATTCACAACACCCCGGAATCTGGAATAACTGGCCATTCAAGCAAGCAGCATGGCACAGTGAAAAAACAATCTTCTCCAAATCTGATGGTCTACCACCATGAAGTATATTAAGGAGTGTCCTCCAAGTTATGCTTCATGCACAACCACCAAGAGGGAAAAAAGGAAAAAGGGGGTAAAAGATGCTACAAATGGCCAGATTTGGTACAGGAAATTTAAAACACACATCGAGGAGGATAAATCACTTAAAATATCAAACATTCTGTATGTGTGTGCAAATTTAACTAAAATAGTCTTATACCCATGAAAAACAAATTAAAATCCAAATGCTTTAAGAGAAGCAACAGGCTAGATCTTTTAGAAATGGAATTCTGTATTTTAAAAATGCTTTGGCAGGAAATTTTCCAAGAAAGAGATGTGAACTCCCCAAATGTGCCCACTCTTAAGGAGACACACGCTGAGGGGAAAATGGGATTTTATGCAGGCTTCTATTGATTCCTATGATCCCACATTAGCAGAGGCACTTCCTCCTTTGGTCATATTCTCCAAGGAAAAAAAAAGATGAGCAGTATAATCCAGGTTTTAAAACATTTTATTTGCATATTAAAAAAATTGTGCATTCCAATAATTAAAATCATTTGAACAAAAAAAATGGCACTCGATTAACTGCATTTTATACAGCTCGCAGGACCTTGGGTACAGCTTTGCGTATTATTCAGGTGTTACTAGATTACTGTAGTCCCTTTTTTCCCAGGATCTTCTTTCCAGAAACATGCAAGCTCTTTCGTGCCACCAAGACCAAAGCTGGACAGGCAGATGGAAAAGACAGCGCCTTTGTTTCAGCGTCAGTAGTTTTCTCTATTCTTTTGTCATCGTCGTCATCATTGTCGGTTGTGGGGTGGTGTTTTTTTTTGGACGTGAAAGGGGCAGTACAGTCATTTAAACTTTATCCAACCTCTTTGCATCTTACAAAGTTAAAACAGCTAAAAGAAGTAAAATAAGAAGGCAATGCTTGTGGAATGTACAGTGCATAATTTGGATGGGCTGATTTCATTACGATTCACCCGCTTGTTTCTCCTGTTCAATCGCTACAAAAGAGGGGGGAGGGAGGAAAAACAGAAAGAGGGAAACAAAACATATAAGCATTTGAAATGATCTCAGTGCACAAAAAAAAAAAAAAAAAAAAGCCACACCAAGATCACATAATACTTCATCATTCTCAAGTGCAAAAATAAATTTCTTTAAAATTTGGAAAATATTTTTATTTGCACCACCTCTATTAATTTATTACATCTGTCTGGACATAAATTCCCCGAATTTCTTAAAATTTGGGAAAATATTATTTATTTGCATTAGTTTATTGTATCTATATGGACATACACTCCTGAATTTCTTTAAATTTGGGAAAATATTATTTATTTGCATCACCTCTATTAGTTGATTGCATCTGTTTGGACATAAATTCCTGAATTTCTCAAAAATTTGAAAAATATTATTTATTTGCATCACCTCTATTAATTTATTGCATCTGTCTGGACATAAATTCCCCGAATTTCTTAAAATTTGGGAAAATATTATTTATTTGCATTAATTTATTGTATCTATATGGACATACACTCCTGAATTTCTTAAAATTTTGAAAACTATTATTTATTTGCATTGCCTCTATTAGTTTATTGCATCTGTTTGGACATAAATTCCTGCTGTCCTGAAAGGGACAGAAAATTCCTATAGAAGTCAATGGAGAAAAAAGGCATAGGCTCCAGGCTGCCTTTCTCTTTGTCTCCTTCCTCTGGCCCACGCCCTCTTCCTTCCTTCCCTCCCAGTTGTGCTAAACCCTGCTTGCTTACTTTCTTTTGAAGGCAGTGGGTTTTTCTCTTGCGTTTCTGTCTTCTTCAACTTAGACTTGTCGAATTTCTCAATTTCAGCCATATCGGGTTTGTCAGACATATTTGTGGATTAATCTGCATACAAAAAGTATGGGAAAAAAAGAGGCAGATGGTTATATTATACCACCCCTTTCCCCCCCCTCCTCCTGGAACCCAAATCTCCCTTGAATTCCCCCTCCCCACCCCCTCCTCTTTTATTGAAGCCCCCCATCATACTAGGATCTCCCTTTAAAACCCCTCCTTTGTGCATTTATTTATTTATATTATTTATATAGTGCTTTTCTCACCCCTGGGAGGGGGACCCAAAGCGGTTTACAAAAAAAATAATGGCAAAATTCAATGCCTTACATACACTAAACCAAATTGTAAATCAAACAAGCATAAATTCAGGATGCATTATTATTTTTTATTATTATAATAATATATATATAATTTATACAATAAATATCAATATAGTTTATATTATTATTCAAATTCAGGATGAATTCTTATTATATATTAATATATTATAAATCCAGGGTGTTATTATTATATTAATATATTGTTAAATTATATTAATATTGCATTAATAAATATAAGCATATTATATTATAATTATTCAAATTCAGGGTGTTATTAATTACTATTATATATTAATATAATATATAATTATATTAATATTGCATTAATATATTATTATTATTATTATTACTATTATTATTATTGAGCAGCCATAAAAACCTGCAAACCGCATGGTCAAACCTTTGGGCAAAGCAGAGGGTTTGTGTGATGGAGAGGTTTTAAAGAAAAAAGGAAAATACAAAGTCCATTTTGTTTGAAATGGGAGACAAAACAAAAGGCTCCTTTGTAAAGAGAGTCTTTAAAAAAACCCAACAATCTCCAACTTGCTTTTTTCTTATAGGGAGGAGAATGGGGCTTGCTTGCACTAAAACAAAAGGGTCTGGCTGGCTGCTATTGTGCCCCCCCCCCCCCAAAAAAAATTCAGGCGCCTCCTATGGAAAGCCTAGGTGAGGGTGAAGGCTGTCTCCCTAAAATATCTGGAAGGGATCCTGCATTATTCACAAAGAGAGGGGGGGGAGAGAGAGAGAGATGCAGCACAAGAAGCCCTGACCACCGCCCTTCCTCCCCCCCCCTCCCTCCTTTCCCCACTTTCTCCTTCTTGGCCCCAGCGCCATCCAGGCTCCAGGGGTCAGACAAAGAAGCAGTGCCTTTGTTGCAAAGCAGGGAGGGGAAGGGGGTGCCAGGGGGGTGCCCTATGCCTTCCTCGCCTCCTTTTTCCCCACTCCTTCACCGCAAGGGAGGCTTGTCCACCTCCCTGGTGCAAGAGCGCACGCGCCCAAGGGGCCCTCCCGCCTTCTTTGGGGAGACAAAAGGCACCCCCTTTTTGTCCCTCCCCAAAGTGAAGGCGCCCAAATCTCTGCATGAGAAAAATGGGAAATCTTTGGAATGATTCCTATAGAAAACCTCGAGATCTCCTTGCCAAGGAAGGGAATCTTCCCAACCCTATCTATTTCCCCCCTCTCTCTAGGAGGAGAATTTGGCGCGCCATGCATGCAAAACCCTTCCCTGCAAAGGCTCTGAGAGCGGATAATCGGGTTCTTTCCAAAATATATGGGAATAGGGGGAGCAGGGAAGTTGCATTAGGTTGAAGAAAGAGTCTTCCCCCACCACACCCCCCAAAAACCCACCCCAAAGCCTCACCAGTGACACCGAGCAGCAGGCGCGACTCCGATCCTGGCAGTAAGGGCTCCAGACGGTAGTATAAAGCGTCTCCCTCTCCGCATGAGCAGTTATAGACCCACTTGTATGCAAATGGCGCAGTGATGTCACCCCGAGCCGGATTAACTCTTCCCCGCCTGGGCGCCCCGGCCCGGATGCTTCCCCTTGAAGGGCGGGACCAGGAGGAGGAGGAAGGAGAAGCACAGACAATGCCTGCCTGGCGCGCCACGCCGGGAAGGGCGCTCCCCTCCCTCTCTCCCTCCCTCCCTCCGCCCTCCTATCGCGCATTCGTCGCGCTTTTGCAAGACCTCACTTGTTGCGGGCCGAGGCTTAAGATTGGCCTCCAATTAGAATCTATCTCCCTCCCTCCCTCCCTCCCTCCCCAACAAAGCTCGATCTTTTGTGCGCCCACTTTGCATCTAGTAGAATTAACCCACTTTGACACCGCTTTAACTGCCATGGCTCAGCTATGGAACCCTAGCTTTTGTAGTTTGGTGAGGCTCCCGGAACTCTGTGGCAGAGGCGGGCAAAGATTTGGGGAAACTACCCATGAGTTGTATTGCCGAAGGCTTTGCTGGGTTGCTGTGAGTTTTCCAGACTGTATGGCCATGTTCCAGGAGCATTCTCTCCTGACGATTCGCCTGCATCTATGGCAGGCATCCTCAGAGGTTGAGAGGTCTCTTGGAAACTAGGAAAAGGGAAGGTCCAGGGCGGGAGGAAGAACTTTTTGTCTGCTTGAGGCAAGTGTGAATATTGCAATTGGCCGCCTTGATTAGCATTGAACGGCCTTGCAGGTTCACAGCCTGGCTAGTTGCTGCCTGGGGGGGGGTCCTTTGTTGGGAGGTGTTAGCTGGCCCTGATTGTTTGAGGTAGGTGCGAATGTTGCAATTGGCTGCCTTGATTCGCATTAAATGGCCTTGCAGGTTCACAGCCTGGCTGGTTGCTGCCTGGGGGGAATCCTTTGTTGGGAGGTGTTAGCTGGTCTTGATTGTCTGTTTGAGGTAAGTGCGAATGTTGCAGTTGGCCGCCTTGATTCGCATTAAATGGCCTTGCAGGTTCAGAGTCTGGCTGGTTGCTGCCTGGAGGGAATCCCTTGTTGGGAGGTGTTAGCTGGTCTTGATTGTCTGTTTGAGGTAAGTGCGAATGTTGCAATTGGCCACCTTGATTTGCATTGAATGGCCTTGCAGGTTCAAAGTCTGGCTGGTTACTGCTTGGGGGGACTCCTTTGTTGGGAGGTTTTAGCAGGCCCTGGATATTGCAGTTGGCCACCTTGGCTAGCATTTATACCTTGATACCATTTAGCCGTGGCGTGTAAAGTGGTATCAGGTTGCATTACTTCCCCGGTGTGGATACCCCCGAAGGAAGGCAGTGGTCTCGAGAGAGCGGCCCGCCCCTTGGCTTCTGCAGGATTTGCCAAAACTTGCAGCCATACGTCAAGGGGGTGGATTGCAAGGAGGGCGAGCCATGGCCCATGACTCAGGAGGAAGGGAGGAAACCATGGAGAGGAATCCAAGCAAATGAGAGGGAGAGAAGGGGATCTTGAATCAAACTAACCCAGTTTCGGTAGGGGCGGCTTCAAAAGTGGGGCAGGGAAGCACCAAGCCTGCATTGTGGCCCAACAATCGCAAGTGAAATCTTAGCTGAGGACAGACTCTTCCAGGACTCTGTGCCTTGATATTCTGGGTTATATGACTGTGTGGAAGGGGCCGAGGTTGTCCTCCCTCCCCCCTTTTCTAAAACCTATCTATCCCTGGCCTCGCTGTCTTGAGTCTTTCTGCTGCAACCTCTGGGAATCTCATGCGCCGTTCTTTCTTGGAGGGTTGGGCAGAGACAATAGCGGCAGTGTCAGGAGGCGGTGGTCTCCTCCCTTTCCCTCCCCGCCGCCTGCCACCAGATCCACTCCCAGCTGGTTATTGTGGGCCCTGCTGCCACCCTCTCGCATGCTTCTGTCTGGCCTTTGTGGTTAGAGAATAAACTACCAAGGGAGAATTTCCAGAGACAGGCCTTCAGGGAGCAAAAGCTGAGCCTGCCAAGCACTGTGCGCGTAACACAATGCAGAGGTGGCCTTGGTACAAGTTGTGGGGTGTCACGCTGGCTTTCTAAGCAGGAGAAAGACCTGGCGTCAGAAGATTACACCTGCACATGGATGGGAAAATAAGAGAAAATGGAATCCTTTTTTCTTTTATTGGTTGACACTGTGCTGGTACAGTTGTACCAGGAGCTCCATTTCTGTTTGCTTTTGCATTTAATGTTTGTTGCAGTCCTAAGTTTCAGGGACTTTGCAGATAGGTGGCTTCCTTTGGCTGCAATCATAGGGCAAGCCACCTGTCAATTATAGTTCGGTTCCCTGGTCCCGCCCCTTTTTGAGTTTTAATGGGAACAGGAGCCATTTTGAGTTAGTTCTCACAGAGAAGCCTTTTGCACAGGACATAGAACGAAGTGGCTCCTGTAGAAAAGCTTCGTCTTCTACAGCTTGGCCGGGGTTATACACCCCTATGGCTTGGCCGGGAGACATACAGCCACAGCTTGGCTGAGGGACTTCAGCCAGCCATCACAGCAACCTGAACTCCTTCTTTTTCCCTGGAGGTCTACAAAGCTCTGTTGGGGCAAGGGTCACTCGCGGAAGCCAGACACAGTTGGTACCGGGTGCAGGGGCTCCATGTCAACAGAGGCAAGTACAGACTGCCCAGATTAGAAGCTAGGATTTCCCCATTAGTTACAGTTAAGAAGACAGTGCCTGTTCCCAGTGAACAAGATTGCAAGAGCCAATAGACAGTTAAGAAAGCTTGAAAGTACCTGTTTGTTTTCATCAATAAAAAACTTTGTTGAATTTACTTTAAGCATTCTAAAGACTCTGTTTGGGGAATCTAAGGGCCTTTAATCTGAGGCAGCCCCGGCGTCCCGTTGGGCACACGGAATTTATGTCCTGTCGACAGTCATGTGCACAGGCCCAGCGTGCAACAGCACAGACACATTTTGGTGCCTCAGAGGTCAGTCCCCTTTCTGGGTATATTTGACCTACTGATTCAAAAAATGGCACCAGTTTTCCTCCATCACTTCTAATTTTTGAGATACACAACATCTGCCACCTACCATGGTTTGGGCCCTGCCTATTTGAGGGACTGCATCTCCTACCAACCCACACAAGCCCTGAGATCACCAGGAGAGGAGAGCCTCTTCTCTTAGTCCCACCACTGTCACAAGTACAATTAATGGGAACAAGAGAGAGGGCCTTTGCGGTGGTGGCCCCGCGGCTCTGGATCTCCCTCCCCAAAGAGGTCCATTTCACCCCCTCACTATTGGCCTTCCACTCCCAGGTGAAGACCTTTTTATGGGAGCAGGCATTCCCTTACAGCATATAATAGCATCCATTTTGGCCAGACTATGCTCACAAGGCCAAGACTTGTAGCTCTGAGTTGGTTAGTTGAATCTTTTTAATGTGTTAGGATAACCTCAGTGGCCTGAGCTGCAGGAATTTTATAATTATATGTGACTATTTTTATGTCTATTATATTTATGAAACTTCTGGTTTTGCAATGTCTGTTTGTTATTCATTCGTTCAGTCGTCTCCGGCTCTTCGTGACCTCATGGACCAGTCCACGCCAGAGCTCCCTGTCGGCCGTCACCACCCCCAGCTCCTTCAAGGTCAGTCCAGTCACCTCAAGGATGCCATCCATCCATCTTGCCCTTGGTCGACCCCTCTTCCTTTTACCTTCCACTTTCCCCAGCATAATTGTCTTCTCTAGGCTTTGCTGTCTCCTCATGATGTGGCCAAAGTACTTCAACTTTGTCTCTAGTATCCTTGCCTCCAATGAGCAATGAGCGGGCTTTATTTCCTGGAGGATGGACTGGTTGGATCTTCTCGCAGTCCAAGGCACTCTCAGAACTTTCCTCCAACACCACAGTTCAAAAGCAATGTCTGTACTTATAGCTATATATTGGTTGGGTGGGATGATGATTTTTGTAAAAAAAAATTTGTGGTATCTATATAAATAAAAATGTAATGTTCGTTTGTGCTATTCACAGAACTCAGAAACCACTGGAGCAACTGACACCAAATTTGGACAATATGTCCCTAACAACCCAATGTATGTTCTCCACTCAAAAAAACAACAAAAACAAAAAGCAGAAAGGACTTCTAAACTACATGTCCACAAAGGAGAAACTGCATGTCTACCGAGACCCATCGCCACGCCCCCTCCTCCTCGTGGGGAAACAGCTGGCCGTTAAAGCCAGGCGCATGTGCACGGCCACACACACAAGCGAGGGGAGGGGAGGTGGAGGCTTGCTGCATGCAGGCCCTTCTCTTCCCCTCCTGTGTCAGGAGATCAGTCTCCTCCTTTCCCTGTTGGAAAGTGCCAGCAGCAGCAACGGAGTGCTCCACACAAGGAAGAAGGGGAGGAGGAGGGGGGAGGAGGAGGAGGAGGAGGAGGCGAGGAAGGTCCACTGTGCTTGAATGAAGGGCCTTCCTTCTCTCCCTCCCTTTCCCTTCTTTCCTCCCTTTCCTTTCTTTCCTTTTCTTCTTTCCTTCTCCTTCCTTCTGGGTTATATGGCTGTGTGGAAGGGCCCTGAGGGTAACAATTTAACCAGAAAAATGTGTTTGTGATAGCTAATCCGTGACTCATAAAAACAACACAGGTTATTCTTCCTGCTGTATACAAAACATACACATTATGGAGAAGCAGGGCTTACTGAAGATCTCTGAATTAATATATCAAAGGATTATAAATACGGGGGGGGGGGGTGTTCATGTCGGGAGTGACTTGAGAAAGTGAAAATCATTTCTGGTGTGAGAGAATTGGCTGTCCGCAAGGATGCCCAGGGGATACCCAGATGTTTTACCATCCTGGGGGAGTCTTCTCTCATGTCCCCGCATGAAAAGCTAGAGCCGACAGGCGGGAGCTCACCCCACTCCCTGGATTCAAACAGAGTCTCCATTTAGCCACTGGGGGCTCTGTCAATACAGGTTGAGCACTCCTTATCTGAATTCTGAAATCTAAAATATTAAAAAATCTGAAATGTTCCAGATGGGTGGCTGAGATAGTGACACCTTTGGTGTGGTTCAATGTACCTAAACCTCG